CCACGCTGTTCAGCTGGCGCAGGTGCGGACGGGCGCGGGGGGGGAGAGGAGGGGGGTCACAGCGTCGGGGCCCGTGCAAAATGACGGTCGGCCGCACCTCGCACAGCTCATTGGAGCTGTACTTGCCAAGGTTCAGCACGTCCACGGACTTGTTCGAGTGGTAGCCGCGGGTGCCCCCCTCGTGGGGCTTGAGGACGTACTCCTGGCCGTTCTCGTCGAGGCCGCGTATGAAGTTCTTCATGTGCGCCCCGGTCTTGTACAGCCGCTTGCCGATCTTCTCCTGGGGCAAGGGTGGGCGCGTGTCGTTGGTGAGGGAATAAGGAATCTCCGTCGACTTCGAGGCAACGTTGATGTGGATTTGGCTGCGGAACGGCTGCGGCTCCTCGGTAACATCGCAGATGTTCGTGAGATGGCTGAGATAGGATTTGGAGCACGCCTGCTTTCCATGGCCCTTGGTGTCCACCACGACCGCGCCTTTCTCACCCATGATAAAGGCGTCTGAGAGCATCAGGCTTACGGTGTCCTTGTTGATGCCGTTGAAGCGCCGTGGACCGTGAGTGATACGACCGGGGCCCCCTGGGCCCGCCAAAAACTCGGCAGGGTCGATAAACTGCTGCTTCTTCATGGATTTGCATACAGGAGGCGCCGGTTTATCATCCTTCCCGGGCTTCTCTCCGCGTATTAAGTGCGCAACCGCATTTCCACTACGGGATTGGCGGGCAAGGTATCGAGCGGAAACGTTTTCCTGAATTATTTTGGTTTCACCCATTTTTTTTTCGGATGAATTTGCGGACAAATGAGTTATGAAATCGAATGTAAGCGATAAAAAAAAAGTCAAAAGCTAAACTCTGAAAAAACTCTAAGATCAAAAATCAATGGATAGATAGATATAACGGGAAAAGGTATTTTTTTATTAGTGAACACCAGAAATGCAATATATTTTCCTATGCTCAGGTACATCGCCAAAAAAAAAAAGGCCTTGTTTTGCTCATACAATAAACTACCCAATAAGTAAATACTCAGCAGCGCTCTTATCAAGGAGTGGACACCCTTCCTGTTAAAGTTCAGTTTCTCGATACGTTAAAGATGGTTTGTCTTCAGAACGATGACTAGCAAAGCTATTCATTATTCGCCGAATCAAAGATCATAATTTTCATCATCACTTTAAAGGATAAAAATACCACTTGGTAATGTCAGGCTGGGTCAATAGTAATAGGATTCAATTTGAAATAAATTTTATTTGATATCACGCAAACCTTCATCAGAACGAATATCCACACAATCACGCAAACATGCACTCTTTTCTTGCAGATTATTACAGAGGAATTTCAATACCTGTATAAGACTAGAATATCCTCAGACGTAATCTGCTCATTGCACCATTTTATATCTTTCGAGGTAATCCATTGATGCTAATAAAAAATGAGGTAGGGAAGGGGAGGAATTACCTGAAAGAATTAATAAATCTTCGGAAACGATGAGGACCAAATGCTTGATAAATGAGCTAACCCCTAGCAGATCCAGAGAGTATCCGTTATAAAAACAACACAGCTGAAAAGAAAACTAGAGGAGACAAAGTTAGATGTTTGGTTGTAGACAATATGCTGATATCAGCTCATTCAATGACAACATAAACAGTGATTCCAGAACTTTTCCTGGAATAATTGTTAGGGATGTTATAAAACATATCATTAATGTATATGGTAATATAATGAAATAGTTCATAAAAAAAATTACATATCAATACTTTAATCTATAAGCAATGTTCCTTAACCATTTGAACAGAGTTGTAACACCTGAATATAATGAAATATACATGTAAAACTAAAGTTATATATTCTTAAAACCCAACACATATGGATGAATGACTTCACCGTAGAGAAAAAAAAGAAGCCTTTAATTTTGAAGTGCGATTCTGTTCATGAAACATTGATATAGCGCACTGCACACATCTTTTGTAACTATAAAAAAATATAAAAGACCAGAGGGATGCTCAAGCACTAAAGATATGCGAAGGCAAGCATCATCATTGAAAACTCAATATAATTCAGCCCAAGAGGAGTT